AATGAAAAAGGAAATATATCCAAATAGGATTTGATTTTTATTTTAATAGTCGTGAATGTGCGCCTAGATATAAATGAAATAAATGATTCGCCTGTATGTTTTTTTTTCGATTTAGATCTGCATGTTTCCATTCAGATACACACAGACACAGGAATGGATCGTCTGTTTCTTGTTATTTTTTTCTCTCTTTTTTCCATTTCTTTCATTTCATTTCATATGTCACCCTTTTGTGGTTCTATAGAGATTCACTATATGGCGATCCCTTCAAAATTGTATGCGTGGCGGATGCAAAGAAATACATTCGCGCGCATGCTATTACTTTTTATTTTAAAACATTATTCTTTGTCGAAATATAATCACAAAGTGGAAACGCCAGTTTTTTTCATCATCGTTATTCGCATCGCTTTCCATTTGGTTAGCCAAACTTTTAATTCAACGATGATAATGATGATTCAAATTTTTTGGCCATCATCATCATACAGGTAGTGGTGTGTTTTTGTTGATTTGTTTTTTTGTTTTGTTTATTTCGTAACATTTTACCTTGCATACGCGCTGAACTAAACACATGGTTTTTTACCTGGCTGAAATATGTGTGTATGTATTGATGAACATTACCACTACCGATTGAAATTTTGAAAAAAACGAAAATTCAATTCGAAAGTGGCAGGCGTGTCAACATGACGACAATTCGTTACGTAATTATGCTTTCGCTTACTATTTGAAAGGCACATCAACATCATCAAAGGCTAGTTTTCTGTAAATGAACGAGTTTCTATTCGAAAACCTGAATTTTAAAACTTCAAAATATATCGACCCTCTCTTTTTTATATCTCTCACTCTCATTTAAAAATCCTCTACCAACAACAATTTGGCCATTTGCTTGTTGTATTAACTAGCTTCAAAGCAACAATCATCATCATTATCATTATAAATTGGTATGGAACCTAAAACCTGGCTTCAAGTTCAAGCTCGAAGATAAACCATCATTTATTTGTATAGAATCAAATCAACCAACCAGACACAAACACGCAAATGCCGACAGCCAATGATCGTTGTCATTGTTACCTGTTGTTATTAAAATTTTTGTTGTTGTATATTGTTTGAATAGTTGATTTTGGCTAGTTTTTTAGTTCGATTTTTTTATTATTTGTTTCGGTTTGATTGTTACCTTTTATTTTATTTATTTATTCTTTTTTTTGATGGTTGAAATCATCAAAATTGTTATCATCATTATCAACAACTATGACGACATATCAAAACGACCATTGTTGATTTTATTATGGTCGATCATTGGTCTTGTCTGGTTTTAGATCTGGTAATTGATATCCGGTTTTTTTCTTTTTAGTTCAAATCATAAACAATAGTTCATTGATCGATCATTATCATTCTCTGATCATTATCGTTTAATTTTAATTTATAATCAAAAAAAAAATAAAAATATCCAATGATAGAGATGGATTAATGATGATCATATATGGATAAAATAATAATAATTATTATTATCCTATATTAGGAATTTTTTTGTTTTGTTTCGGGGTTAGTCTAGTGACCTTTGGCACACACACATACACACACGACCTCAGAAAATCATCATCATCATTATTACCTTTAAACTATACAAACAATGGATAAATGTCACCCTATAGATTGCAAAAATATAATGTTGAAAAAAGAAAATATTTTTTTTAATAGTTGAGTTTCTATATGCAATACAACAATGTAACAAAAGGCTAAAATCATAATCATTATCATCGTCATCATTATCATTATTGAAATGATCATTATATTCAAAATGGATATATTTTTTCATTTATAACGAAATCATAATGATGTGGTTGGGTTTGTTTTTTGTTTTGTTTTATTTTTATTTTTTCTTTCCTGATTAATTTGGTTCAATGATGATGGTCGACCAGGTTACGGCTAGCCTGAGCGCCCATCATTTTATCCAGTTGTTTTTTTGTTGTTGTTGTTTTGTTTTTGTTTTTTTAAAAAAAAGACAATTAAGGCCTCATCATTATCATGTGAAGATTAATTTTTTCGTATTTCAATCGAATGATGTAATTAGCAATGAAAATCAACAAACACAAACAATTTTTCATTGCTCATTCATTTATGAAATAGAATTCAATGAACTTTTTTCCAAAAAATTTATTGAACATTTTTTGATTATCAAATTTATTTTGCTCATAAATATCCAGAAAAAAAGCATGAATTTTTTTTTTGTTTACACAATAAACCATTGATAAAAACGATGTTGATATCATTTTTATTGAACCAAAATGAAAAAAAAATTGTTATCGGTAAATGTTATGGGTTTTTTTTTTGGTGAAAACATAGGCTGAATTTTTTTTCATTCATTTCAGAAGGTCAGAATTAATTTGAATTTAAAAAAGGTGACGAAATTCTTTTTTTTTGTTTCGAAAAAAAAATCAAAATAAATTTCATTTCCAGCCAATAACCTATTATTAGTTATCGTCATTATCATTTGAACATAGCCAAAATGAATAATTTCTTCATACAAACTGAATGAATGATTTTTAGAATGAAATCATGAACTGAAACAACAATTACTATTAATTATTATCACAATGATTACCATAAATTTGCCAAAAGATAATCAATAATTCGTCTATATTGTACATTTTCAATTATTCATCAACATGATTAATTCAATCTATAATTTTTCATCATGATTGTTTTGATGTTACTTGATCTTGATTGAAATAACATTATTATGATGATCATCTTAATTTTCATAATGATTTGCAATTTTTTTCAAACATTTACTTTCTTCAGAATTTATAGTTGTCCAATCCCATGATGAAATAAAGTTGAGAACATCTGATTATTCAATTGTTTCAAATTTTTGAAGTAACATATTGCAAATATTAAAAATGAATCATTTCTGGACAACACATACACATCAAAATTTCATTTCGTTCATCAACAGTGACATTAAAATTAGAAAGAAACAATGAACCAATGATAATAATAATTTTTTTGTGAAAGAAGAAAGAAAAACAAAGTCCAGGAAGCTTTCAGCATAGAGAAACAAGGATTTATATAATTATGGTTTATGATGTTTATTACATTCACATGAAAGACAAGTTTTTATTCAGATTCCTTACGTTACGACTACAATCATATAGCCAAAATGTTATATAACGATACATCTTTTTTTTCCAAAATTTTCCAGAAAATTATGGCGAATAATTTGAGATTTTGAATGCAGTTACAGATTTTCATTTCCATTCAATGACAAGTTTATGTGAATCTTTGAAATTGAAATTCATTTCATTTTCAGACGAAAAAAAAATTCAAAATAAGATCATTCATCATGATGTCAATGATGGAAAAAAAGATTCATTTATTTTGAACTTTTTTTTCTCGTGAGGTGTGTGTATGTGTGTATACAAGAAGATCCCTGCTATGATTTTTCTTTGAACGAAAACGAAAATGATTGAAATCATATTATTCAAATAACAGAGTGTAAAATAAAATAAAAATTTGAATAAAATTTTGGTCATCAAGAAAAAAAAACAAAAAACTTTGTTGATTCATTTGAATCAGGACAGCAACGACACAACAACAAAAATAGGAAGTGCATGCTATTGCAAAAAAAGATAAGTAATTTGACCAATATGAATTCATATTAAGATTATGTTTGTCGATTATATACAAAAGTTCCGCATTTTGATTTATACCATTGAACAAATATGGATGTACAATGTACAAATAAACAAAAACAAAAACAAAAATAAAGTGATGATTTATCTGTTGATGGCATTTTAAATGTTTCAAATACTTGGAAACAGTGGTACTTTATTCATTTTTTTTGTTGAAAGTTTTACAATCATTACAATCGGGTTAATGATTTTATTTTTATCTAGAATTATGACTCCAAAATAGTGTGTTTTATTTCACATTATTTATCGATATGAAATGAAAAAAAAATCTTGTTCTAACGCAGAGAAAAGTCATAATTCTTGGAAGGCTATCATCATCTTGGACAAGTATGAATTGTCTTTGTTTCTTTTTTTTTTGTCTTTGTATTTGTGCGTTCCAATGAAATACCAGAATTAACGAAATAAATATAAAAAAAATTAAACAATTGAAAACAAATTCAAAATAATGACCTTTTGTTTTGAAATAATAAAATATCCTTGCAATCTGAAATTCATTCACTTCATTCATTAACAGTCATTGGTATTCACAACCTTTATATTGATTAATCAATTAATTAATTAATCAATCAATCAGCTTCAAGCTTCATTGTTTTGTCAATTTCAATTCCATTAATGAATTTTTTTTTTAATGCAATTACAAAATCCTTTTTCCAAATTAATTATGTCTTTTTCTTTGAATTATTTCAGCTTTCGTCTTCTTCTATGAAAACAATAAAATAGTTTCCGCTTAAGACGCCGAATAATAATAATAATATTATTTAGAAAAAAACATTTCATACACATTGAATTCGATGATGATGATGATGATTAATCATTATTTAACAAGTAACTCAAGTGTAACATGACATCCAAATTTGATACACGCATATACCTATTTCTTTAAATTTATTCGTCTTTTCACCTATCTAAATCTGAACATATACAGTTCGTTTTTTTCTCATTTATTAATATCCGGTTCAAATTTGAATTCATTTATAACTCTAAAAATATTGAGCTAATAATCATCGATTATCAATGATTGATTAAGCGTATGGTAAAATTTAAACATTAAAAAACATTTTTTTAAAAATCATTTGTTTTTATTGATAATTTGATAACCATGATACAAAGAATATTTAAAAAAATTTTATCCATAACCAATTGACAATAACAATGGTTATATACAAATTTACAAACAAAAAAAAAATCTACAAAATATTCATCCATCATTCTTATTCTCACCACTAATTCAATATCTTCATCATTATCATTTTTTTTCTATTCAATTGTTATGAAAAACGCGTGAAAAACCATAAACGGTTGTTGGTTTATTGGAAAAAAATATAATTCTTCACAAACTACAAATATTTTGTGTGAGTGTGTGAAGAAAATCGATTTTCATTATTCAAACAATCAATATATTTGTGTTAGTAAAGGATTTATCCTTGATTAGCAGTTTTGATGATGGTGATAAATAAGGACACGTCTTGGTAGGAGGCTGATTTCAAATTTGGAAGGCATTTCATAGCATTCATTATCAATAGATATCCATCCAATATTATCATCAACATTGTCATCATCTTTAATGTCAGACTTTTGAATGTTTTGTTCCGTTTGGTCAAGACCATCGTCACGGTTGTCACTCTCATCAATTTCTTTTATTGCATTTGGTCTGTTTTGTTCGATTTGATCAACTAAATTAAAATGCGAAATTACAGGTTTCTCAACATCGTCGCCAAACATTGTGTGAATTCGACAGTCTTTAGTTTGGATCACTGTACCTGTTTCGGGTGATTCTTTTCGAAACATTCGAGCGCTGTTTTTTTCAATTAGATAAAATGTTTTATTTAATTGAATCATTAATCCAAAAAAAAACTTACCCATCTTTGATGAAGGAAACTCTGTCCATATCGGCAGGATGGATTGTCAATTCAATTGAATTGTTCAATGTATCTTGCACTAGAATGTTTTTGCATCCAAGTTTAATAGTATCCCATTTATCACAATCATCATTTAAAGTTTTTTTCATTGTTTCTATTAATTGTTTTTTAGCTTCAGCTACTGGATCGATTACAGGTGGTGTATGTTTGGGTAATGGCATGAATGAATGCCACCAACGTTTATTGCTTGCTTTCAACGTTGATTCAACTGATGGTTCTGTTGAATCCATTTCATATCTTTGAAAACATTTGGAGCAACCTGTGCATGGTTTCGTATACTCTATCGATATTTCTTGGCTTTCGTCCCAATGTGTGGATAAATTTTTAAATGATTGAAAAAACAATGCTAGATATGGTTTCATTCGTTGTCCTAGATACCAATATTGATCAACTTTACGAAATACATCTTGTAATTGACCAATATTCATAAATCCAATTGAATAAACAGGTCGACCACGTTCACCTTCTATTTTCATGACATCGACATTGTTTAATGTCTGTCTAATGACAGCCATCGAACTTTCGGCCAGAATTTTAGCCTTTTCATCTGTTTTGGGATTAAAAATTTGGGAATTCAGTTTATACGATATAGAATTATTTTTTCCAACAGGTAGAATCCCAATAGGAAATCTTCGTAATGCATCGGATGAATCTTTTCGGCGCAATAAACCGGTGATTGCTTCATGAACGGTACCATCACCGCCAGCTACCACAACACAATCAGTATTATCCATAATTTCCATCAGATCTTTAACTTGACCTTCAGCCTCGGTTATTACCAATGAAACTTTTATGCCGGCCAAATGAAATAATGGAGCACAATATTTTTCATAATCTGCTTTTCCTTTTCGTTTATTAGCGACTGGATTTAATAATACAGTTACATGTCGTGCTTTTTCCATTGGACCAATTCTTACCTCGCCATATTTCTGTGAATTATTTTATGACATTAAATTTAATTCAAATTTTAATTTTATTATCATACCAAAGCCTCTTGACAATAGGCTTTCATCAAATTGAATTCCAAATATTTTCCATGACCATAATGGGCTCCCCAAACAGTCAAACCAGTGAAAAATATACTTTTTTTCCAATGATTTCTAACAGTCTGAAATACTTTAACTATTTTAGACATTTTGAGTCGAAAATTTAGATTCAATTAAAGCATTTTATTATTATTTTTTTGTTTATTTTCAAAAAGATTTTATATTCATCACACATGTGATTTGGTCATGTTGCAAAACAAGGCGCTATTCAAAGAATAGGTTCGGGATCCCAACAGAATTTTCGATTCTCGTTGAGGCCATCAATTTTTGCCATATCTTCGAGAGATATTTTGAAATCAAAAATTTGAAAATTAGATTTTAATCTTTCAACATTCGACGTTTTTGGAATGATACCTAATTCAAAAAGAAAAACAAAGAATAACAAAAAATTGGATTTTAAAATTAAACTCACATAAATCATGTTGTAAAGACCATTTGAGCAGAATTTGTGCAACAGTTTTCTCATATTTTTTAGCAATTTCTTTTAATGTAGAATTTGTCGACAAAATTGGCCAACCATCACGTGCTCCAAGAGATGAATAAGCTTGCACTATGATTGAATGATTTTTACAAAAATCGATCAATTCCTTTGGATAATACAATGGATGTACTTCGATCTATCCGATAAAGATGTTTAATATATTGATTTTTATTACCGAAATTTCCTACCTGATTAACAACAGGTTTGATTTTGGCATAACCAAAAAGTTCTTGCAAATGTCTTATTGTATAATTGGAAACGCCAATATTTTTTACAATACCTGAATTCTGTAATTCTTCCAGATCTTCCCAACTTCCACGGCGATTTTCAGGATTTTTTGGACTATTAGGAGTTGATCGACTACTACCCGGAAAATGTATCAACACAAGATCAATGTATGATAATTTCAAACGTTCAAGAGAATCCAAAATAGCTTGTTTACATTTACCACGGCCTTGATCAGCTGGGCTTAATTTTGTCGTTATAAAAATATCACTTCTATTAAGATTGTACGATGAAACGTCGGAAATAATTTTTCCAATTATCGCTTCATTGCGATAAACAGCGGCAGTATCTTTGAATAACAAAAAGATAAAAGACCGGCTTAAATTGCATTACTACCAATATCTAGATGTACTAACCGATTAACCTGTACCCAATCCGCAATGATTCGCCAATTATTTTTGACAGTTCATTCTCATCTTTCATTAGATAAGTACCAACTATTTTTTTAAGGAAAAATTTAAAGAAAATTTTGATTTGTATTTGATGACGTTTTTTTATCCTACCTCCAATGATGGGAATTTTATTGCCATTGTACATTTGAACTTCCATTTTGTTAACAATTTTCCGAAAATTATTCATTCAGAATTGAAAATTTGATCACGTGGATTATCAACAAAAAAAATCTACTCGCAAAATTCATAAACAATGTGTGTCCAAAGATAGTTTCATTTACGAACTTCCGTTTTTTTTGTATTTCATTCTAAAAATTATCTTTTCAATTTCAATGTAAAGGTAGTTTAATGGGTTTTTTTCGAACCACCGGAGGGATTTCTTTGTTATAAGGATCGAAAACAAAAAAATCTGATTCGGATCTCAAGTGTATGTATGTTTGTATAATATCTAGCATCGCACATTTATATTGATATTGATAAAGTTTTACAAATATTGGAAAAAAATTCTCGATAAAAAAAAATTAAATCTTATGTTTGCATTACATCTACATACTACGATCAAAAAAATAAATAAATGTCACACATGTATGTTTTTGAAATTCTCAATGGATTTTTATTTTAATTTTAAAAAAATCAATCTGTCATTAATCACATGGAAAGATTAGATAGATATATCAACATTGACACCATATTATGTTAGCGATTCATGGAAAACTATGATTTATTTGTCCAAAAAATAAAGGATTTTTGATCTTTTTAAGACAAAAAAAAAGATAAGATAGGTGTGAAGGAATTCTATGATAATGATGCACTATAATCAAATAGCAATAGATTACAATCAAACCGATATTGATTTCTAACCTGTTGAATCAATCAATAATTGAAAACTGTTATGGGTTTGTTTTTTTTTTGTTGTGGAAATTTTCCTCTCATGGATAGATATCAATGTTATTTTTGTTTGCAAAAATTTTGACAATGTCAAGTGTCTTAAATGAAAATATTAAGGTCAATATTTGATTCCTATATTGATTAATATTTCGAATGAAAAAATTATGACCTCGTGGCAAGCACGATTAAGGAAAAGGAACAAAAGGTTTTTAATTTGATTTTAATTACGCAACATCCATACGTCTACTCTACAAACATACTTGAAATAATTTGGTCGGCAAATTAGAAAGAATTCCTTGATTGATAATAATCCAATATGAATGCTAAAATCTATTTGATTTGATCAAATCATTGTTCTTATTGAAAAAAATGTTATATAATGAAATAACAAAAAAAAAGGTAAATAAGATGTGCCGATTTTGAATATTATTTGTTTGTTTATTTGATAAATAAATAATTAAATTTTTCCACAAATTCGAAACATTTGGGTCGTTGATACTGTCGTCAACCGGAATTGCAATCTCGAAATCAAATTATGTTCTGATGTGTTGTTGTGTGGATTGAAAGATGATTAAGATTAATCAATGTGCACGTATCAATACTCTATCATTTATAAACATACTAATAAGAAAATTAATTGAAAAAAATAATATATCCATGTCTACGACAAGAAAAAAATTTTCTGGTTTCCAACATATAAAATAGCCAACTATCAAATCGACTAATGTCATTTTATGATTTTTGATAATTTTGTTGCATCGATATATTTCATTTCTTTGTTTGTTTTTTAATTCTATGTGATTTATCTGCATTAAACGTTTTGCTTTGAATGATTTCTCCAAATAAACAAAAATGTCTATCCAATTGATTTTGGTCACATTTACTTTTGCAACATTGATCATCATTCCCGATTCAATAGCTGCACCACAATTCGCTATTCGAAAAACTGATGATAATGATCAATCCGAAAGGTTAATACTAAAATCTTGTTCTTATTATGATTACGACTAACTTTTTTTTGCCATAAATTATAGTAATAATTATCGTTTGATTCATTATATGACATTGCGCCGTAAGATTCAATGCTCATTGAATAAAGAACTTTGTTCACCTAAAAATAAAAAAACCAACAAAAATACTTTGTCATCTGCTAAACCGAATGTTAATCTGATGCAATCTGTCGTATTGCTTGATATTCCGGTCATGATGCGTTATCCACCATGCTGTATTACTGGTTTAGAAATTGGTAATTGTATCAATTGTAATAATAATCGTGAAGATTTAAACCACCGTAACGACAATGATCAATTCCATAATCCGGGCAGATAGGAAATTAGCATTCACATGTAATTTTTGTATTCCGTAATTACAAAGTATTAATAAACTGTATTTCGATTTTTTTTTTGGATTAATTTTCAATGAATAAAATATAAATGATTGTTAAATTTTTTCCATTTTTATTAAGCAAATTTTCATCAAACACCTGATAATTACCACGATCAAAATTTAATCCACTGGGAAGAAAACGGTGATGAATGAAATTGCAAATAGGGAATAAATTGATGTGTGGAAAAAAATTTTGATTTTTAAAAAGTATATGTAATATCTAGTTTTATAAATGTGTGAATTATTTTGTTTTTGTTTTCAAGTGAAAATAAAAAGAATGACAGAATTCGCAAATGAATATAAAAACATTGACTTTGTTTATGTGTTTGTCCATATCGGTATTACAGAAAAAAAGGAATAAGACAATATAAGTGTAAGTGAAAAGGAAATGTATGCGACAGCAAAAACATGGACAAAATAGCCATTTTCTATTCTTTTTCTTTTTTGTTATCATCGTCATTCTTTTGGGCGTCCTTATCATCACCACCCTCTAGATCGGGAATATTTTCATCGTCGCTATCTTTTTCATACTGTAAGATTTTTAAACGATAAAAAAATGAGAATTTACTTTCAAAAATAGAAAAAAATCAACATACATCTTCCATATCGTCGAAATTTCCCATTCCACCCATGTCTGGCATACCACCCATACCTGGCATGCCACCCATGCCTGGCATACCACCCATACCAGGCATACCGCCCATACCACCCATTTGTCTCATCATCTAATAAATATAAAAAATGAATATTCTAATCACATCAATAATTGCATTACAATACCTCTTCGAAATTGGTACCACCACCACCAGCTTCATCATCGCTTTCATCTTCATCTTTCCATCGATTAAAATCCACTTTGAGCCAATGATATTTAGTATCTTCTTTCAATAAACGTTTCCAAAATGAACCAGAATCCTTTTTAATCAAGACGAATTCAGCACCACGATCCCGGTTGATCCATTTGGAATCTTCTGGTTTGATTTCGCCAAACAAATTCAATATGGTCTCATATTTTTGCTTATCTTTGGTTTCAGCTCTACAATCAATAATGGTCATTAATATTTTTGAACATCAATATTTGAAAATACAAATACCTATAGATGACTTTATCCTTTTCAACCACGACCTCAGGATTGGCTGCATCTTGAACTTCGAAATTAAGATAAACTAAATCTTTACGTTGAGCCCACTTCAATGGTGCTGGTCTGTGTTTAATATGTAAAAATTTTTTGAATAAATAAATATATGGTAAGCATAAAATTTTTGACAGATAAACTTACTTTGTCATGATGAATATAAATGGTTTTTATATTTACTATACTAATGAATTAGCAAGGCAGAATTTTGTGTTTTAGAAAACAAATGTCAAGAGATTCGAAATCTTACAAAGAAACTGTTGAAAATAACTTTGATAATGATCGCTGATCGTATACAGTGGAGTAATTTTATGAAAAAAAAATTAACCAAACCTACGTGCAGCAGAATGATGAAAAATAAAAATAAAAAACTAATGCACACAATCCTCGTGGTTTTGTGTTATAATTGTCCGGCGAAAATCGAAAGCCAAAAATGTAACAAAAAAAAATCATGAACATGAATTGAAAATGTGCTTCATCAAGCTGCCAATACACACAATACACAATGTATTTTATTGTGACCAGCACATCAGATTCAATATTTACATTCATAATGTACGTTATAAAAAAATGATGCGTCATTTTTTAGATATAATTTTTAGGATATGAATTTTTCATGTGTCAATCAACCTTTTATTTGAAATTCAAATAATAAAGATAAGAATTTTTCGGCTAAAACAATAAAATTGAATGAAATAGAATAAAATTATAATGAAAATAGATTTATGACAATTGTCATGTCATTTATGTGTGGTCAAAAGGTGCACGATGAAATTTTTTTCGTTTCAAGATTTTCTTTTAAATTATCCGTTATTGGATTGTTGTTTTGATTGCATCATTCTCATTTTACGATGATCGATTTTTCACAAGTGCTCATTTCAAAAGGAATTGCTTCGATATTCACCGGTTTTGGTATCGGCTTTACACTAGGTGTATTTGTTCGAAATTTATTTGTTCGAACATCAGCGATTTCTATTGTAGATACAATGGATTCATGTTCATCTCATGCTCTCGGTGGTGATGAAGAATATAAAATGGTTCTTGTAATACGAAATGATCTCAAGATGGGAAAAGGAAAGGCCTGTGCTCAATGTTCTCATGCTGCTGTTCGTAATTCTTATTTTTCAGTCTATTTTCCTATTGAAATTAATTCCAATTTTTTTAAAATTCAGGTTCTTGCATATAAACAAGCACGTAAATCAATAAATTTATTGAAAAAATGGTCTGATTGTGGTCAACGTAAAGTTGTAGTTAAAGTCGACAGTGAACAAGAATTGTTAAATATTATGCAAAATGCAAGAAAAAATGGCCTAATTAGTGTTCTAATACAGGATGCTGGACGAACACAAGTAGAAAGTGGAACAAAAACAGCAATTGCAATTGGACCAGCTAAAGGTTCACTAATCGATAAAGTGACTGGACATTTAAAACTTTATTAACTTTTAATTAAATTATTTATATTTTTTGTAAAATTTCTTTTTCTAAATAAAAAAAAATTAACTAATTCCCATGACAAAAGGTGTCGCCATATTTTTTGGATAAAAAAAAATTTAAAATATTGGTTTTATTGTAAAATATTTTTGACTAATAATTGTTTAATTAACAAATTTGATAATGAAAGAATTGTTTCACAATTGTTTTTTTTCAAAATTTATTCCATTATTATCATCAATGTTTGCATGTTTTCTTTGACTATAAAACAAAAAAAATATCGATGATTGAAAAAAGTCAACGCTCGATTTGATGGCCAAGAACGGTGAATGACAACAAATTTAATGAATGGTGAAGAAAAAAAAATAAATAACAAATTCGATGATTACAATCGACAAAAAGACTCTCTTTCACGGTAAAATTCGAACTGTTTGTTTGTTTACCATTGGCATGTATGTGTGTGTATTATTCGCGAACTCTTGCGAGAAGAAAAAAAAAATAATTTCATAATTGAGGACAAGGATTTTTGGCCGAAAAAAATAATAAATATAAAACTTCAAGAAATAACAAAACAAAAACAAAATTAACGGACAAACTTTCTTGTTTTTTTAGAAATATTCTTCCTTCTTTTTCAATATTACATATCACCTTCCTACTTTTTTGCAATGATGATGATGATCATCATAAATGTCAATGGCTTTGGCAAATTTTTTTATTCGATTCATTTCATTTTGATTTGTTACGAATTTATTTATTTTGTTTGCATTTGTATTTGCCTGATAAAGTTATGATGTAGTTATAACATCGATTCATTATTATTATTGTTTATTGTCCAGTCAGTTTAATAAACATGATGGCAATGGGGAACGCACTGGAATCATTCGATACACAGAAGTTTCAAATTGGTCTCTGGCGATCCATTTGATGACAATAATAGTTCTTTCTTTTTCTTTCATTGATTATAATAATAATAATCTCATCGATCACAATGAATGATTATTATTATTATTATTTTTTAATGAAATGATTCCCCTATTTATTCATGATGGACAACCGACTACGTGTTTTTTCCTATTAGTATACAATGCCGATATAACAACAACAACAACTACAGAAATCATTGGGTTTGTATTGAAGGAGAAAAAAAACAATTTCGATGATGATAATAATATCGATGATGGCCGATGTTGTAACATCACTATAGTCATTCTGTTTCCAAATCTGTTGTGTTTGTTGTCCAATTTTTTTCAATTTTTAATCAAAATTAAAATAATAAGTTTCTGTAAAAAGATTGCTGTTTATTTTCATTGAAAAAAATAAAATCAATTTTTTGATTGCTGAAACAATGAAATTATTTATTTTTACAAAATTTTAGATGAAATATAACCCCGCTTTCTTCAATTTTGATAATTGTGTTTTGTATTCCAAGGAAATTCATGTCAATACAAGTAAATTTTTATATCGATAAATAATCCATTGAAAAGATTTTGAAATTTCCCATCAAAAAACGATTTACAAGCGGAACGAATACGAATTGAAAACATTTTCGAATTGCCTAGTATGATGACAATGATTAGTGGTAACTAAGCAATTGAAATCTTGAATTGATTTCGAGGTTGAAAATCTATTTAATTAGCTAATCATATTGATCAATTTTCTACCCATCAATGTTCTGTTATATGATCATTTCAATTGTCACATCGAAACAGAATAATCATATAAAGTACTGAAATCAATTTATTCAATTTTTTTGCCCAAAATCATCTAACCCAATTCATATCATGACATCGTTATATTATTCATTTAAAATATCGGTCAAAATAAACAATTGTCATTCATTTTCATAATCATTATGTGATGACAATTCATCAAATTATTATCGTACACGCCCACACACACAATTCATACTACAATCGATCAATGTATCATGATATAATCTTGTATTCCAAGAAAATTTCATTCATATTTAGTGTTGGTCTTTCTCTTTCATTCCTTCTCTTTTCTTCTTGTTTTTTCCTTTTCATTATTATCCATTATCATCAGCATCATTTTCGAGATTGTTCCGTGTGTGTGTATGTATGATTGTTGTACTCACCACCAACCATCACCACCGCCAACAAAACTATCGACTCGTGCAACCTCGTCCTACTTAACGGACATTAAACCTTTTTTTCCATTTTTTTTCCTTCATCATCATCAACAACAACAACATCATCAATGATTCAAAATGGTGTGCGAGAGATGGGGGAGTGAAAATCATCTGTCGTGACCGGGCAAATGCATTTGTTCTGTATAGGCACGTGCAACCATTCAATCTATTGAAAGAAAGATAAAACATAGCCCAACAACCGCTGTCACATCAATCCAAAATCCTATCAATAGGCGTTTCCTTGTTGCCATTCCACCTCCGACTGACATTTTCCTTGAAACAAACACACACACAAATATCCAAAGTCTCTTTTTTTGTTGTTACCTTAATTGAATACTCATCCTTTTTTCTTTCATCCACGCTATTGTCGATGAATCAAAGATATCTATTCAAGATTTTCATTTTCAACTTTTTTCCAACGATTGTTGTTAACCATTCACCTGAAAAGATTTCATCATCATCATCATCATAATGATTATTATGATGGTGAGCCGACGTCAATAGCAGTTACATACATTATTTTGGACCACCTCCCAACACAATCGCAATCATCATCATCATCATTAACCTTATGGAAATGAATTACAATTATTATTATTATTATCATAACGAAATACATGATAATACTATCGATTTTTATTCGAATGTGTTTTTTTTATTCTCTGCTTTTGTGGTCAATTTGGTTCATATTTTTCCATTACATTTACATAATTTATATTTTTAATTAAATATTATAATTATTGAAATTCATATTGTGGTTGCTTTGTCATCATCATCATTCAAGTGGGAAAAAGGCACCAAAAATCATCAATGATTAGATATAAAAAAAATTGATGTGGCCTCTTTTAATTGATAAATATACAGAATTGTCGAATACAAAATAAAAATTTGCATAATTAAAATGGAATAAACCGCACGCGCACACACACAAACACACTGGAAAACATTGAAGAATTTAATTGAAATGGTCCAAATCTATTCCCGGAATCATTTTGTTTCCCATTGAAATTTGAAAATCTGATAACAGAAAACTCAAAAAAGGATTCAAGTACCGGTTTTTTAAATTTTTTTTTGTCTTTTCAACGCATAGGGAATTTTATCAAAACAAAAAAGGTAAAAAAAATTCAATGTGATTGGCCAAAATCATTAATATTGCATAATAATTGTACATTTATAGTTCCAAAATAGTAATTGTTTATAAAATTAATACGCTCGACAATATCGTAAAAGGCGGCCTGAAGGTATTTTTGCTACTTGTCTAACGTTATTTTAATTTTATTGCAAACTTGATCATGATGATGGTTGATGATCAAATCCTGTCATCATTGAACTCTTCTTGGAATCCTTTAAATTTTTCTCTTTCTCTCTTTATATTTTGAATCGATTTCATCACCATCATCGGTTCTTTCTGACAAAATCAAAATGGCAAAAAATGAAAAATAAATGAAATTTTATTTTTTTTTTAGTAATGAAAAAAGCCAATGAATTGAGCGAGGTTATTTCATTCACACTCTCACGAAAACATGCGGTTCAATGTTCATGCATCGAATGCATCGAAATTGTAATATTTTGTTTGTGTGTGTTATGTGAAGAGTCCATCGCCGCCAACAATCAACCACTTTGCGATGGCGGTTGTATTTATGCTGATATTATTGCGTAAATGAAAAAAACGGGCAGCAGCCTATATATTGATAGATAGCGGTGTTATTTGGATATTGAATTAGCAAACAAATAACTTAAATATAAAAAAAACAATAATCGATTATCTTTCACCTTCGATGATGGCAATTACCTTCTTTTCATTCAGTTTTTTTGCGTTGAATATAATTTGGTCATATATCAACATAATTGTCTTTTAATTTTCAACACAATAAGATTGAATCAATAATCATATCCAATGGGTAAAATGTTGATCAATTATGGTATCAATTTTTTTTCAATTTCCCATTGTTTCATCTATTTTGAGATTATTGCTGTAGATGGATGCAGATTAGTTTTTGAATTTTTTAAATAAAGGAATTGTTCTGATTCGTATAAATTATGGCAGTCATTGGATGTAATGTGATTATTGATTGTGTAATTGATTGATTGATTGACGAATTAAATTATCAAACTTCAATGATTTATTATTGGAGTCAATCTGTGTACATGAACATCTGTCCATGAATGAAAATGAATTTTTATTTTATTAACAATTTTTGGTTCACTAAACTTGAAAATAAGTGACGGTAATAATGGTGACATTTTGTATCAAGATTTTTTTTGTTGTTGTAGTTATAAAATTTTATGCCAAGGATTCCTTAACCATTTTGTAATTTCGGTTTTACTCATTTCTCATATAATTCAACAAGTGGTTGAAAAAAACTATTATTTTAATAAAACAAGACAAAATTAGTTAATCAAGTCAATCAAAGAATAAGTTAATTGAATTGATTTGAAAAATTCCAAATATTTTCATTTCATTTTAATCTACGATTCACATTCTCTCATTTAAGTTTCAGCTGTATACACAACTCTTTTTTTTACTTTTTTATCTTTATATATTCGATTATCACTATAGGATAGTGTTGGACAAACATAATTTTTTCTTACTCATTTAATTAGAAGCTAATAATTTACCATAACCAATAATGATAAGGATAAGGATTACAACATACAGAATGAATGTAGAATTTTTGATAAATCGATTTCCAGAAATTTGAATATTAAAACATGTTATAGAAAAGTACACCATCAACAAATTAAATATATGCATCAAAATTGATCTTGTGGTTTTTTTTGTTGTTGAAAACATTCATTTAAAACTTGAAAAAATTCATTATCAACCATTACATTCATTAAGATAAGAATCTATAATAACCTGTTTTGTTTTGTTTATATTATTAATTGAAAAATTAAATAAATAAATAAAAGCTTGTACTCTCCGAAAAAAAAGAGTTTGTTGGAATCAGGAATCGTTTTAATCTTTTCACAGTAAACAACAAAAAATTCAATTGAAATCATCACTTGAATTTTTCATTAAAATTTTATTGAATAATTTTTTTATCTATAAAGAATTTGATTTTGCAATATCCTGCACATTAGGTACAGTATAGTATATGCGATATTTTATTTAGTTTTGCACTCTATTTTCTTTCTACTTAATAACAACGACATTTTTTCCTCATTTTTATTTTTTCATGGATAATAGGGTAGGATTGTCGATGGCAAAAACAACAGCAGCAGGAAAAAGCAGGCATTGATTACTGTTTAATGAATTTTTGAAAGAGAAAAATAAATGCATTGTTTACTTAAATTCTATCAATTTCCGATAAAACAAAAACCGGTAGTGAAATATCGATTCTTTTCGATTAAAGTATCAATGAAGTGAAAAAAAACAACAAAATATTATCGAATTAAAATCCAGGAAATGTTTTCTCTATGTAAATTTAATGTAAAAAAAACATTTAGGCATAATATCTGGTGTGTACATTTAATGGGTAATGATGTATGGATACTATGGTGATGCCAAGATGATGTTAATGAGTGTGTGTGTTTGTGTTTTATTTTCATGCTGTTCAATTTTTTTTTTGCTTCTTCGGGATACGATGACGCCCATGATTTTGTTCAAAAGAATTGAATTTGTAAACTCGAATTCTATTCGATCAATGTTCATCATGTCGTTCGGATGTTTTTATACACACACGCATTCATGTACACGAATTATTCGAAACAGAAATGAAAAAAAATATCATAAACCATATTTGGATACAATACATTGACATATAGAAAAAGATGGAAAGAAAAAAAAAGAGAGAATAGTTTGCATGTCAATTTCAATCAGGAATACAAAATTCTGAAGACCATATGGTTGCTGATAGACGAAAAAGAAAAAGAAAAAAATTCTGTTATTTTATTCAATAATCTCGCAGGGTTCAGGATTTATGCAAACAAAATTTCCATTTAATTTTCATCAAACATATCCATATCATATTCAATCGTACAGTAAAATCGTGTTTGTAATCATTATGTTTGTTTTGTTTTATTTTTTCACAAACCGATTTATTTATACTGGGCGTCATGCACTGTGTTATCACAGAAAATATCATCATATGCATCTGGATGCACTGAATTTTCCTTTCAATATTACTATACGATAAGCTATATTATTTATTGAATTATTTGAAAATTCATTATGAAAAAAATACATGCGCAAAAATATTAGAATTAACCAACAAATATAAATTTAGGCAACATTGATATAATCTTCATTCCATTGCCATGATGATCATCATCATGGCAAAGGGTGACGCCTATACATAACTTAGTTTTGTGATTCTCTATGTTTTTCTATTAGACAAATTATTGACTTTTGAATGCAACAGGCAAACAAATGAATGAATAGAAAAATTCCATATAAGTAACCTAAAAGAAAAACAATGACTAAAGGATTATATAATTAGTTCAAAGTGAAAAGGGTGTTTTACGATTTTTTATCTTTAACATTGCACCTGCTTCATTATTACATCTAGCAATGATTTTTATTTGAAGAAAAAGAGATTTTTTTCCCAATTATCGGCAATCATTCACAAACCGGAAAACTCTTCATTTTTTTTATTGCACTGAACATTGTCTTGTTTGTCGTTATATTTCCGCTGTTCTCGTACTTATCTACATCGAACAGATCAATTCATTCAACAATTATGGAAGCAAGAGAGAGATGCAGGCAATTTTTTTCTTCTTCTGTTTTAGTTATTGTTGCTCTTCCAAAACTTTTTTCTGTGTTATGTGACCTCATTTTATCTCGTTGTTATCGTTGTTGTTTCCTTGTATTACGACAGAAACAACATCCATAGCACTAACCACCACGAACCAGCAACAGGGGATCTAAGAGGCATTACTTTATCACAATTATTATGGTCAGTAATGTTTTTATCCAATCGGATAGCCTGGAACCTGGATTCAATCATGTGAATGCCATTAACTGCTGTTAATGGGGGCATTCATGCGTTTTGCCATGTTTTGGAAGCCATCGATTCCACAATAAAGAGTAACTATATTTTATGGAAAAAAAAGAAGGAAAAACGGGTTAGATTGATTGCATCGTCAATGTCTGATGCAACCTGATTGCATTCATATGGTCGTTTTCCGCGCCATTTTCATTGGAACAATTTTCCATTCAAAACCAACACCAAACATGGGACCTACATTGCACGGGAAAGAGAAAAATAATTGCATCCATGGCGCCAAACAATATAACATACCACCACCACCGATGAAATGTGGATTTTGAGAGTGACACAGTTCTCTCTCATCAGAAATTCGGTCTAGTCTAACTTTCGCTGTACATTTCTCACCATCAAATGAGGGTGCTATTTTTTTCATTGTAGGCAAGAATGAGCGAGAGTGTAACGGTAGCATTGCATATACCGCTTTTCTCTTTCTTTTTTCTCTCTCCCCATCTATCTACCACAGTTATATGTACTTTGGAGCCAATATTTATCATATTAGACTTTTTGCTGCTTGGACCTCATCTTGAATACGGCATTTATACTGATGACGAAAGAGATTTTTTTTCTTTTTTTCCTTTCTATGTTAAAATAGATAAGCCAATATTTGGAAGCCATGTCAGTAGTGATATTGTATTGTGCCATTTATTCGTTTCCGTAACGTTACCCTGTGAGGTTGTTTGTCGGTGTGTCCGTAATTTTCAATTTTTTTCTTTTTTGCCGTGTGCGTGCTGCAACATGTCGAAACTTTTTTTTAGGGTGCGCGTGAAAAATGTTTGTATATTTGTGCGTGTATGATCTGTTACCAATAATATTTGAATGAAATGTGAATACCGCTAGGAGGAAATATTTTTCTGTAAGAAGAGAACTGACTAACTGATGACTGATACACACACAAGACGACGTTTGTTGAATGCACGCCATTTACAGAACGAGAGAGAGACGCCGTTGATATTTTTTTTAATGACGATATTCTTGTTGGTTATATGTTATGTGTTATGTTGTTTTGTTATATACAGCAAAAAACCATTCATTTGTCAGTGTGTGTGTGGATGCCGTTCGATTGTGGTGTATGTGTTGTGTTTTTTTTTGAAATAAAATTTTGTTATTGTTTTTGTTGTTAAGAATTTATTGTTCCACATTGAATTTGTTTCAATTTTTTTATTCGTTTAAAAATTTTTTCATTTAATTCGTCAATCAAAGGAAAAAATTCGTGCGCATTCATCATATACTATTTATTCGCGCCCATTTTTATTCATATACACATCACACACGTGTTGCATATTTCATCATTGAAGAATTCCAGAATAAGTGTAAACAAACACAAAAAGGACGGACATTCACATGAACATTCAAAAAAAAAATTGAATGTAACATCAATGATAATTTTCTTTGTTTGTTTTTGAATTAATTTTCGTTAACCCAATATTTTTACTTGTGACAAGAACTTTATTCCACAAACGGATAAATTAATTGAATTATTACGATTTTTGTTTGTTTTTGGTTATCGTTGTTATATGTTTTGTTTTGTTTATTCTGATTGTGATAAATTTTTTTTTTCGTTAAAAAGTGAAATTTTAATTCATCAGTGGAAAGAATTGGATCATCATTATCATCATCATCATCAACTCTTCTGATTCAAATATTTATAATGTTGTTGATATAGAAATATATGACAACCGGAAGTATCGTTATGATGACCCTTCAACAACAACCGGCTACAAATGCATCCGCATTAGCCATATCTTCAGCTACAATTTCAGCCCATAATATAAATAATAATAATAATAATAGTAATAATAATAATTCAATGATTAATGGTAATCAATCAAATAATAATAATAATAATAATGGTATTATTGGACATCGTTTTGAAGAAACACGATTAGAATTAATACGGCTACGACGTACAAATGATTATTTCCGTGAAACATTAGCCACACATGAACATTTGATTCGATTATTGGAAGGTATACGAGAATGTCTTGAACGTCGTAATGATGATTTAATGGAAATTTGTACATGCAAAAATTTCTTACGTCCAGAATTTGCTCAAGAATTGGATAGTAAAGATTTATTAAAAGATTTATATACACAATATTATCAGGCAAAACATGGATTGCCTGTAAATCTATCATTAACTTCTGGATCATCCGATCTTTCATCATCATCATCATCGTCGTCATCATCATCACCTACAAGTAAAATATCAAATGGTCATTATCATGGAAGAAAATCTCCATTTTTATCAAAATCATATCTTGATAATAAACGTACAACACCACCAAGAGTGGATACAACACAATCATTATCCACATCGCCAAGTTCAACATCGAAATCATCACCAACGACAACGACTACGAATAATTCCCATCATGCACATAAGATCATACCGACATCACCATGCGGTTCATCATCATCATCATCATTATCGTTATCGCCATCAACAACAACCACCTTCTCTTCCTGTTCAACGACAACGAAACCACCCGCACAACAATCACATCATTATCAACGAGATATTGAATCTATAGATGTATCATCATTATCATCATCAGCAGCCGCTATTTTAACGATCTCGGCTGCATTAGCCGAAATGGCAAATAATGGTCAGAAAAATGGTCAGAAAAATGGTCAGAAAAATCGAACATCATCAACATCATTCTATGAACAAGCTAAAAAAGCAACAGCAGTTTTACAAGCCGCAGCTACCTCATCATCATCTACAACAACAACTGCAACAAATATCTTTAAACATGATTCGACATCAAATTCCATTCAAAATGATGATTCAAATTCTTCACATTCAATACAAGATAATTTTGTCATGACTACTGATAGTAATGGTTGTCGTGGCTCAAATCCTCAAAATGTTATCGATGATGAATGTTCACAAGATAATGTTGATAATGAAAATAATGATGACGAAGATCAAAAATATTCGATAAACGGTAAATCGTTGGTTATTGATGATAATTCATCATCAATAGATAATGAAAAAATTAATCATAGTCACCGTAATAATAATCCTAATGATTATGATGAAGATGATGAAAATGTTGAAATTGAAATTGATGATGATGATGATGATGATAGAAAATTTAATGGGACTATCCAATCATCAACAACAACATTACCAATATCAATGATTGTAAAGAATGAAGATGAAAGTAATGATGCAATAACAACAAAATCAATGAATACCGATGTGGATACAGATACCGATATTGGCAATCAAACAATTGCACGTCCATCAAGACTACCGATACTTAAATCGATGCTATCACCTGGTGATGATGATACAATAATGACCGAAGAAAAAATTGGTATGTTATTCTGATTTTTCCGTTTTATTTTTCCTTGTAGAAAAGCCTTTTTTATGCTCTTATAGAAATGATTACAGGTTTTATTTGAAAAAAAAAATATTTCTGATTTTTTTAAATTGGAAAATCACTAATCATCAATTTGAATTTTATTGAAATTCATTAACAAAACCAAATAACTAGAGTTACCTTCGATTTTTTCTTAGGAAACAAAATCAAGGTAAACCTAGTTTGGATAAACATTATAACAACAACAACAAAATATGACAATTTTTCAGACACGCAAATTATTATTGAAATCACAAAGAGGAAATATTTTTCATATGTTTCATCCATCCATTCAATTTATGTTATCAATGTATTAGACGCGTTGTCCAGGTTTTTTTCCTTGATTTTTTCTGTTTATCATCATCTTTATCATCACTATTTTTCACTTCACTTTAGATGTTTTGCATTGAAATTCTATCCGATTTTTTTCTGGTTCGATTGTTTTTTATACCTGATTTATTTTTGTATCAGTTTTGTATTTGTTTATATGTGCAACATGTGCTAATGTAGATTTCCTTTGAAACGATTTATCGAATTTCTGTTATATCATATAAGTAGGAAAAGAAAAACTTAACCATCACATAATTATCATATATGGTAAATGATGGCAATTTCTTTTCTTTTTTTTAATTGTGCAAGTAATAATGATGATGATAAGAAACGTTACTATGTTGTTGGGTACTCTACTCTACTAACCCGATGCTCTTTTAACTAGATTCTTTATTTCAGGTCAACTGACGGGTATCATAACTCGAATTGAGGTCAACCAAAAAGAAAAATAAAACAACGACAAAAAAAATCTTGTTGTTACTGGTTATCGACGGTTAAGGTGGTCATGGATGGTGGCCATTCTCATTCAATCGACCTTTTTTTCATTTCGATCATATCTTTTACGTTGATTGTTGATCATTCAATTATCGTCTGCATATGATATATCGATGTTGATTATGTAGCCGGTTTTTTTTTGGTTACCCAACTACCTAAATTCATTATATAAGGAAAAATTCATTTTTTAAATCAAAAAAACTTAAAATATTTTATATTGTAGGCTAATAAAATTTATTATGAAAATAATAATGAAAAATAGGTGAGAAATATTGTCGAGAGAAGAAAGCGGATATATATCAAGAAAAAAATTCCTTTCAATTTTGATCGAATAGCTGACGATTTTTAGGCATTATTAATCTTTAGTTCTAAAATTATACCAACCACCTACCTTATCAATTCTGCCTACACTTTTTTCATAATAATAATTTTTTTTTCGGTGCATTTTCATCATCATTTTCGTTTATCTAAACTATATTCAATAATATTGACCAATAATCCAATGAATGAGCTTTTTTTTTGTTTTCTTTTAATAATATGTTCATTTACTTAAAACAAAATGATAGCAATTAAAAATAAAGTACAAACTTAAATGTATCAGTGTAAATAGGCGTCAAATATTCCATTCAAATATTGTTTTTTTTCAATTCTTACACCCCCATCTTCAAAAGTCAATCTCCAAATGTTGTTTAATCTGTTTTGCTAAGGTTAAACAAAAATGAAGCTAAGCAAAAGAATTTTTTTCAACCTGATTTATCTATTTTTTTTCATTCTAACATTTTATTTAAGTTAATAATATCTACATAACATATCTTCTTTGAGATTATAAATGAAAAGAAATGCAAAAAAGTTACGCGTTTATTTATTTTTAAAATTCAATATCTAAAGTATACACAACAAACACGCCTAATATGCAATGATCATACAGACAAATAGCATAAAGTATGTATGATCACGATCCTCAACCATATTGATTTGGTGTTTATTTCTGTAATATATGTCACACAATTACCTTGACACATGGACTAATTTTTGGACACCATCATTACATTACCATCGATGATGATGATCGTCATAATTATCAAAAAATGACGGTCATAATATATACGATACATACAATCATAGATTGTATAGGATCTAAATAAAATACTATGCCAGTATATTTTACAGTGGGAAGAGTTTTGTGTCGATCATGATGATTATGATAGTGGTGGTGGTGGTGGTGGTTGTGTCCTCAATCACACAGGGTACAAAAACCGGTGTGTTTGTAATAGAAAGAGTGTTGTTGGTCATTCATGGCGTCATGATTATTGTACATTCTCATGTGATGCAGCTTCTATATCTATGTGTGCGTTTGAAATGTGTCTGCTGTTGAAATTTCGGTTTTTAGGGTATGAAATGCTATGAATGAAAGAAAAATAAAATTGAGGTCAACCATTTTTTTTTCTTGGAAGCAAACCAAACGAACCGAATTGAAACAAACCGAAGCCAAGCCAAGTTGGCTCCCTAAATATCTTCAAATAGAGTTGGAATGTAGAATATATGTGCATTCGTGCTTTGTTGCATAGTGTTGTATGTGCATATTTAAGCGGTACTTTAATTTCGTAACTTGTTTTTTGCTACCCTGATTATTCATTTTTATTTGAATAAGTATGAAAATATAAATTTCTAAATAAAAGAGAGGGTTTTAAGTTATTTTTGATTACTCGATCGATTTTATCGATTTATATAAACAAACCAATGAAATCAGGTTAAATTGTTATCTATGTGGGGTTGATTTTGTTTATCAACGATGCCTTTTCTCTCTTTTGTGATCGGATTTGATAACTTTATATGGGCATGCAATTCGTATGATTTATTATTGGGTTAACTCTCTCTCCCTCTTTCTCTCTTACCCTTATGTGTTTTCTTTGCCTTTTTATTAGTTACGAATCAAGAAAATTTTATTTAGAATAGATGATCTTTCTGTGAAATACTTATAATTATCAATAGGGTGTTTTGATTTGGATGATTGTCAATGTTGATTTGTATGTCTACTTGTTGATCCACATTTACAATGTAACAAAAAGATTAACATTTATTACATTGTGAAAGTGATTTCAACTTCCTTGATGATGATTTACAATAGGATCTGTTATTCAATCATTATTATCATAATCATCAGTCATTGTTATATCATTCAATCCATGATATATTTCTATTGATTGATCCAATAGATTAAGATCCAGATTCAAGTCATGAAGACGTTAAGTGATGATGATCAATGAAATAATGTATGACTAATAAACTAAATGTGTGAATCAATTAATAATTTTTCTTCCTAATTCTTAATTTGTTTGGGATCAAATTGAAAGAAAATAATATTGTTTGGGTATTTCACAATGGAAATATCTTGTTTTTTTCGGATTTTATTATTTCAACATAAATGATTAAACTCAAGAGATTATTATGATGTTTAGATCAATTGTTAGAATATAAGTAAAGGTAGATGGGCTGAAAACTGGTTGATTAAAGGGTACTGAGATGTTGACAAAATGATTACATCATGAACGTAATAATCATTATTTAATCATTGAAGATTATAATAATAATCTTGTTGGTTTCGCTCGATGATTATTTTGTTAATTTGGAAAATTTTATTTCTATTCTTTTTTTTTGCCGTCGTCTTTGTAGATTTTTCTGTTTGTATAAGCCAAAAGAAGGGTTCCCATTGTCTTTATAATGTGATTGATTGTTGTTGATTTATTGCTTAAACAACATCTGGAAAAATCCCAGAAATCATTGTTGCTTGCTGATAATGATGCCGTTGGTGATGTAGGAAAAAACAAGGGTATGATGATTACCAACCACACAACTACTTTGAATGAAGAAGAAAATTATTTGTGAATCCTTGCATAGATTGACATAAATTTGTCATCAATAATTTTTTTTTATGATATTCATCGTTTTCATAACTTCCTTGTTTCGTTTATGTTAAATAATAATAATAATAATAAAAAGATTCATTTGACGATTATTATTGTTTTTTCCCATGATAGATCAATAATGATTTATTATTGTTTCAAATAACTAACATACCTAACCCGAAAAAAAATATCAAAGGTGTATAATTATTGCATCTATGAATTGAAAGGGGTTAGGATGAGAGTAGGTGAAAAAAAATGCAACTACACAATCAAGATTATTAACTTAAAGAAAACAAAATGAAAAAAAATTTGATCGCGCCCAGCCATTCAAGATTTTGCAGAAAAAAAGTTACGTTTTTCCACCCTTCATTGATAACACACACACACACACCCATTCTTCTCAATTGGTAAAAACATAGAAGATTTGATATCCATCAATTTACTTTGTACGTTTTATATAAAGCTAATAAATGTTTCTGTTGTGGTTGTTTGACCTAAATTCTATATTTTTCTTTATTTTTCTTCTTTTAAAATGTAATCGACATAAAAAAGAAGAAGAAAAATTTCTAGTTTTTTTTATATTGCTGCTGAATCGTATGGTTTATTATAATTTTCATGTGAATGAATGTATAACAGGCCAACATTCCAAAAATGCTATATACATTTCATTTTAATAAAAAGTGAATCCTTTCGATCATTTGCATTATTGCAAAGGTCAACGATACAACAAAATTTTTTTCAAAAAACATTAATTTTGATGAATGATATTAATCTAATCAATCAATTCTAATGATGATGATATTTTATACAAAATCGAATCATGTTTTATTGTATTGATCAAAAAAATGTAAATGCCAATGTATTTTGTACATATAGAACAACATAAAGTTTATCATATTATGTATTATATAGTGGAGAGGGTTATTTCAGATAGTCGAGTATAATGAGAACGAATAAAAAAGAAGCAAACAAGCAAGATAGCCACCGTTCTCACCTTGATCTAATTTTCTTTATTCCCAATCTGTTTTTTTTGCATTATTTTGTTTTACCAAAGTATTCATACAGTTCATTTCTCTACCTCCTTCGTTATTTACAATGGATATGGCTTCCAATATCAGCCAAAAATATCTTTTGTTCATGTTATTAATGATAATAATATCATTTCAATTCCATAGTGACCGAATATTTTATAGAGAAAATAAAATATATAACGTGTGAATGAAT